GGATTTTTCAACTCTTCCTTTTATTTTTTTTTTTTTCTTGTGAGGACGCCTTGTCAATAGACAGCTTCTGTGCGGCACCTCCTACCTCTCTATCCTCTGTGTTCAAAAAGGGAAAATGAAACGCATTTGTTCCCCAAAGGCAATCGCCGGGCCGAGCTGCTCATCAAGTGGCGTTGAGTCGCGTAGCGAGAGCAGGGCCGAACGTCCCTATATGGATGAAAGAGAGGAAATGTGCGTGACTGCAGCCAATCAAAAGTCCACCTTTTTCTTCTAACTTCGTTTTGCAAGTTGACGTCAACAGAATCTGCCAATGAATTCAACAAAGTACGGCGATGCATCCAACAAACCCGTTGAATCATTTGAACAAGTAGCACCCAGGTGGAAAGCATGAAAATGCCAGCAGAGTTTGCACAGCTTGCGTTTCGCCGCAAATAATTCACCTGCAACCACCGGACGAAAGAAGCCGTCAATTGTGCCATCATTTGATCAGTCACATTTGCTGGTAGCAATGATGCTAATGCCGTTGCTAAGATTTTAAATGATTCGTTTAGATTTTCAGGCGGATCCATTCTTCCTGAGGAGTACGTTTTTAGTTGGTCACTGTTTATCATTTATCGTTTTTTTTGTACTGTTGAAAATAATCAATATTGATGAAATGGTTAAATACTCATTATCTTTATCTTTATTGTCCCTGCCAATGCTTTAAAACTGGCAATTTGAAAGCAATGGTAACATCGCTTTTCATCGCGCTGCTCCATAATAGCAACAGCAGCCGTTTCTATATAATTATTATTATTCTTTTTATTATGATGATGATGATGATGCGACTGCATACTGTCGCCAAATCCCTGGATTGCCCTCTGCAATGCAGTAAGTCACTCTGTTTAAATTGCCTCTGCTAAAGGGAGCTTTTCCAAAAAAATGAACCATCGAGACTTCCCTCCACCCATCAATGACACAAGAGTGCCTAAGTGGCTCGGCGACCGTAGCGATCAATTATGACATTGCGCAGCACTTGTCATGCAAGGACATAATTACATAATTGATGACTTTGGGTCTAAAAAAAAAAAAAAAAAATGCTGAAGTGTTGCTCACTAAAAGGCGTACTTGCATGTTCACATTAGATTTGTTTATTTATTTCAGGTTTGAATTGATTTTCATTCAATATGTATTTTGGAGGGCCTCCAAATGAAATTTTGCCTGGGGGGCAAATTGGTCAGGGGGGGCCCTGAGCGAGAGTGTGGTTTCCACTAGCGACCCTTGTGTTTCCCAGGGGGACAAAGAAGCGGAGCTCGGCCTTTCCTTCTCGCCACTCTGCGACCGAAAGTCAACAATGGTGGCACAGTCCCAGATCGGTGAGTCACAAGAACACCTACGTAACAGAACATAGTGACCCTATGGACACAGCAAACGTGCATCGGTTTTGTTGTGCAACCAAGGATGAGGGGAAAGAATCCAAAAGTGGCCTCTGTTGTATTGACGCCATGCCGGAATTAATCCCAAGGTGTGTCATCCACTTTAACAAATGAAAATCCCACCGCTCATAAATTCCCCTCTGATTAGGAAAACAACAGGTGGTTTCATTGTAACACAATGCAATAATGTAGAAGACAAAATCTCATACAAAGCATATAATATTTTGAAATTGACAAATGTCCACGTAAAACCTGTTCACAACGAACCTGTGGACGTGCTGGCGTGTGCTCGCGCAGGTTTCATCGACTTCATCGTGGTGCCCACCTTCACCGTCCTGAGCGACATGATGGAGCGCATCGTCACGCCGCTCATCGACGAGGCCTCGCACTCGGGGCTGGCGGGCTTCCGGCGCTCCAGGTGGGTTTTGTGCCAAAAGAGAGACGCCATTTCAGGGCGGTCTCCGTGCATCGGCGCTCGATCTAATAGAAAGAAAACTGGAATCTGTTTCTGTTGTGTGGGATTGCCGTCACCTTTCATTCAGCACAACCACGTTCCATGAAAAATATTTTTTGAAGAATACAATTGGCTGTTTGGGTGGCCTCATAGCTTTATCCCGAGCTTGCATTAAAATTGATTTTTGGCCCTTTTAGAAATGTGGGTGTGGAACCTGTCTTACATTTCATTTAAAAAAAAATCTATCGAACAACTAACAACAATCGAGAGAGTGCTACTGAAAAGGTTTATCTGTGTAAAAGTGTGTTTTAAGCCTCCCTTCAGCCTTCACATCAATACCAGCCTGCTTATCAGTGCGCTCAGCAGCCGCCATTAGAATCACTCAGCCGAGGGGTGTGACTGCAACTTTGGGGGCCCTCATGTTGGAGCTAACCGAGCATAAATGTCACACAGCCATGGCGATTTCTGCTCACCTGATGGGCTGAAGCGCCTCAGACCTCTCATCTTCCATCACGCCGCTTATTGCCGCTTTCACTTGTCTGTAACCATCTGGCCATAATCGCTCGCCTCTCATCGCTCAGATGGGCGCGTCAAGTCCAAAGTGAATCATCTCAACAAACGCCGGATGGATTGCTTTGCCTCGCGCATCTTCACACGTTCCCTTTCCCCAAAGGATGAATGCCGCCAACTTCAGTGACGTCCCCGTCTTCTCTAATCCCATCACAGAGCTGTCACATGATGGGACGCTGCTTTTTACTAATCCATTCTATCGATGTTGGAAGGGAGGGAAGGCGCCAAAATCTATTTAATCTAAGTTTATAGGAAATGATCTAAGTTCACACACTAGTCTTATCACAATACAAAAATACCAACATTTTGAGCCCAATACTGTATCTGGACTATATAGTATTGGGCTTGGGATTTCACCCCCCCAATCCACCAATCATTTTTCTTGATATATGTCAGGTTTTATAGATTGATAGAAAGGCCACATCGTTTAGATATTTGTAGTTATTAACATTGAATGCATTGATGGACGTTTTTCAGAGTTTGAAATGTCTGACTGCATTTGAATGCATCGCACGTCTCGCGCTGAACGCAAGTTATGTCATGTTTACACCCGGCGTGATCCCATCTGTTTGAACCACAAAGGCTCAGTGTATTACAAACGATAAGACAAATGCTCAATTACGAGCATCTGCCGGTTACACGTTACCAGTGATCAAAGAGTGATCAGCCTGCTTTTGCCTCGCACACAAAATAAATACATTTCTGCGTTTTAGGAGAGCAATCGCTTGATGGTTCGAGACCCAACCAGCCAGATATTTATTTTGAGTTTTACAACATTACCTAACAGTATTTATTTATGGTGCTCTGAGCTCCTCTCCTTTGTCTCTGCATGTAGTCTGAACAGTATTAGCTCGGAGGAGGCCAAGAGACACTGCGTGAAGAGCATGGCCTCCGACAGCTGCTCGTCAGGCCACAGCCCCCTGCTGGCCGTGGACATGAAGAACTTCAAGGCACTATGGAACGAGGAGGTCCACCAGAACAGGGAGCGCTGGAAAGCGCAGGCCACCAAAGGTAACCCACGTTTTTTTCTAATAAATAAAAATCTTCACAACTGCAGCACTTTGGCAAATGAACAGCTCTTCAAAAAAGGCTTGAAGCTCCAGTTTGAGGTTTACTACCGAACTAAACATGAAGCACAGAGAATTACACTTTGTGTATTTGAAATGACCATGTAGTTGAGCCTTTCAGAACACTAGCTTAATGCTAACATGAAATAGCATCTGATGGTAAATCCCTCTGAGCAACGAATTGAACACAAATGGTGCAACAACATGTAACATCTCTTCTTTATCCTCTGCAAAGAATGACTAATATTAATGCTGTACTGATGAACTGATGCTGAAGCTTGCAGTGATCAGTATATTTGGCTGTGCTATAACGCCCCCAGATGGCCAAGGCAGACACACCAGACAAAGCACAATGGCAATTCAATTGATGCAGTGTCTTTTTTTTTTTTTTTAAGTGTCAATTCTGAACAAATTCAACTCCCATCTCAAGGCACTACTGAACAAAACTTTCAGTCCACCTTGAGGAATTCAATTTATTTTTCGGGGTTTCCTGTCTTGCATGTTTAGTATTTACACGTGTGGCATCTGTGCACACCTACACGATGCACGCTCTCATTTTTTAAACTTGTTACAGCGCCAAGGTTGGCATGAATACAAATTGTAAGCCTTATTTCAATTCATTTCTGTCTACTTCCCACTCATTAAAAAGTAACCTGACATTTATTGGTTCCACCGCCGGCTGTTTGGTCTTCAACAATCTAATAAGACTTTGTCATTTGGATCAATAACAGATTCATGATGAAAATAAATTATCCATCCATCCATTATCCGAACCGCTTCGTCCTTACGATTGTCGCAGGCGTGCTGTAGCCTTTCCTAGCTGTCTTCGGGCAGTAGGTGGGGACACCCTGAACCGGTTGCCAGCTGATCGCAGGGCACACATAGACAAACAACCATCCGCGTTCACACTCACACCTAGGGACAATTTGGAGTGTTCAATCAACCTGTCATGCATGTTTTTGGAATGTGGAAAACCTACGCAGGCACGGGGAGAACATGCAAACTCCACACAGGAAGGCCAACAAATCGTAATTTTACTTTCGGGTCATGCACCGTGTGGCAGATGACATTGTCCAAAGTATGGAACGTGGGAATACCCGGTAAGTTTTTTTTTTTTTTTTTTTTTCCATTTTCCATTTGTGGGCGAAATCAGTCATCCGTTTTTTTTTTTTTTCTTTTTCATTTTCCGTTTTGAAAATAAATATTGATAAAGCAAGTCACGTTTTTTTTTCTTCTTCCAGTTTTGCTTTGAAAAACAAATGAGCGAATGAAACATGGATTCAACACACTCCCTAACCTTCCGCTGTGTCGTGTCCCATGTGTAACTTCAGAGGCGGAGGAGCGAGCCAAAAGGGAGGCGGAGGAGCGAGCCCAGCAGGATGACGCCATGGAGCCTCAGGAAGACGACGTCGACTCGGCCGAGCCCAAAGACAGCCAACAGGAAGCGGAAGACCAGGAGGCAGAGTCAAAGCCTGACGCTGATGACGCGGACTTGCCGCCGCCTGGGGGCGTCGCACACATGAGTCCCTCGCTGCAGAACGGTACGTTTGTCTTTTAGACTGGCTGAAGCAGCATGTGGCTTATTTCCCAAGTTTGTGGTCGCCATTTTGAGTACAAGAACTGTCAAAGGCATTTCAATTCATTTCAATGGGGAAAGTGGACTTGAGATGTGTGTTCGGAGTTATGAGCATGGTCACCAAACGCATTCAACTTGTATTTTGAGGCGCCACTGCAATCTATATGGTTATCTGTCAGTCCCTTTCCTACATCTGTTCATCTTGAGTCTTCATCCAAATAAGAGGACATTTAATAAGATGGATCTTTCGATGGCTTAGGAGAGTTGCTCGAAGGCGCAGACTCTCCGGGAAGTGGAGAGGCCAAAAACACGGCGATCGATGGTGAGTTGACGTCAACAACCACAACCCACAATTTCAAATGTTGAAGTATGCCAGAACCTCCAAACATCCTTAAAGTGCTACAATTTGCTGTTGTGCTGAAATTCCTCCTGTCTCTGGTATACACGGTATAATAAAAACTGATACGAAATCCAAACTCGGAACAGATTGTGTTGAATGTGCAAGGCTGCTGTTTATTTTTTGCATCTAATTTATTTGATGAGTTTTATAATTCCTAGACATCTATTGCTCCTCATGTTTTGCATTTTGTCTTGGACACAGCCGAGGTGTCAATGGAATGAGGGGGGGGGGCGGGGCTTGGACCGCCAGCGAGGGAGGAATCCAATCAGTCGGACTTTGTCGCCCCCTGCTGGAACCCAACAAACTGACTGACACCTTAACTTGAAGCGTTTCCTTGTGACTTTTTGTTTTGACTGTACATATTCCACCACGCTCCTAGTTTTGTCCCCTCTTAAGTTGGATAGCAAAACAGCTTTTCATTTCTAGTTCTCTATTGTTTCAGGCTCTGTGTAATGTACATTGAATCTGCAATGGGGGAGCATTTTTTTTTTATTTAAATGGCTCTTATTGCTAATACAACCCATCTTGTAAAACGTTTTTTGTTGTTTTTGTTTTTTAAACAATGTGGCTCACGTTGTTTAGCGTTTTTGTTCTTCTCGATGCCTTCTCGTGTTTTGGGGCCGTTGCAAAGCGTCTCCTTTAGCTGTCCTGCTCCCCCCGCCCCGATCTGCGACTATAGGATGCAAATATTGCTGATTGTGCATTTGTAAAATAACGAACCTGCGCTTTAGCTCTTATTGTACATGTATACTTGCAGTTAAGCGCGAGACAAATGGGCAGTATTTGCATTCCCTGATTAATATAATTGTGCACTTGTGCAATATTATTTGGGTAATAGTGCCAAGATGTTGGCATGTAATGTGCTTCTTTAAAAAAATAATAAAAATAAAATAGATACAAAAAGGGAGAAATCTAGAAATAAAAAAGAAACATCTAGTAATGAGTGAGAACCTTATGGATTATATTCTTCTTTTTTTTAACCTTTTTTAACCTTTTCTGTTCGACATGTATTTATTTTTTTTAATAATAGGGCGACGTCACGTGCTGTGAAAAGTTACTTTTCTCTCGATCTGCCTGTGTGCCTCTTACTGTACATGTAACTGCACCTGTAGGAACCAGCTGTCGTTGTTCCTGCAACCTGTTAATGTTTTGTGTGTGCTTTTTGTGCCGTAACAGTTCCGGTCCTCTTTGCCTTTGGTTCCATTGGCCAGTGGTTTTGACTTTTATTTTCATTTATTTAGTGGCTCACCTATTTTTATTTTCAAAATGTATTGTTTTCCTCTTTCCTATTTTATGAAAATCTTTTTTTCCCCATTTAAAAAAAAAAGTATTATTTTTTTTCATATTTAAAAAGTCATTTCACTTTGTTAAATTTATTGTAAGTGTTTTCTGGGGGGGAGGGGTTCACATTTTCCAAATTGTTGATTCAATAATAATAATAATGTAGTGGTTTGCTTTGTGAATTGATGTATTTGTTCTTTTTCCTTTTTTGTTCAGTATATTTATGATTGTAAAGGCTCCAGACTGCTCTGAAACTGTGACATGCCACCCCTAAAATTTGAAGTTCATTTTTCATCTACTCACAAATGTGCAACCAGTACATTTGCGTCTTTTCATTTTTTTTTTTTTTTGTTAATGACAAACTTTTGCTCCATACCTCTGCCCCTTTATCAGTAATTTCGTGAAAATGAATGGAAATGTGAATATTTACTTGGCAAGTCGATTTACAGTGTGTGCCCTTAAATTTTTCACTTGCGCCCATAAAACGTCAGGTTTCGGAGCCATTGTGTTCCAGGTTTAAACAATAATAATTATAATTATTGTTATAATTATAATTTTAAAAAACAGGTAGTCTGGAGCTCTGGTTACATAAATGATAGTAGTTTTATATAATTGGTTGTTTTATAAATCTATCCCCATTTTTCCATGTTTTTCCTTTTTTTTATCCCATGTTGAGTTAATTTAATTTATTCTATATTAGGATGAAAGGTCACTATTTTCCCTGTTTAATTTTTTTTTTTTGCTTTGTACAGTTATTAGTTATTTCGTTCATTTCATAAAATGTGTGACTTTTTCTACCCCCCAAATAATTTTCTGATATTTATGCTTTTTTTAATACCACATTCAGTTAATTTTTAATTTTGTCCAGTCACTTTCCCATTTTATTATTGTTTTTCCTTGTTGTTTAAAAAATAATTCTGAGTTTTTACTATATGTATCTGTTTATTGATATATGTTTAACTTTTTTTCCAAAATAATCCAATTTCCCCCATGTTTTACCTTTTTTTTCTCTTTCGTCACATTTTCTTCCACATTTTGTCCAAGATCATTCCCTATATTTTTTCATTCTCTTAAAACATTTTTTGTCATGTTCCTCTGACCTGTTTGGAAACTTTCTCGTGCTGTAACAATGTCTTTTTCCATTTCTTTTTTATTTATGTTTTTGTAGCTTTTGCGTGAGTGTGTTGTATCATTCCCTCCAAATGCTTGTGGCATCGTCAGGTAGCCTGTTCCTGCTTTTACATGCTCTTGCTGTATGGCATATTTAGCAGGCGTGTCAGCGTCCTAGTCGGACTTCTTCTCCACGTGGTGTTTTTGTAACAATTTGTCCGCCCCCCCCCCCCTTAGACGACTGATCTCAAACATCTCGAGGTCAGATGGATGTAAAAAAAAAAAGTGTGCGAGGTTTGAAAACAAACAAAACAATGCCGGAAAATACTTAATGTGTATTTCTGATCTCCTCACTGTGACCTGCTCTGATTGTGAGTGCGTGTGAATGAGTGTGTGCATTGGGGCGTGCTTGCCTTTAGAGAGATATGGTGGACTGTTGAACGTTTAAGATATTTGTAACCTTTTTAAGGCCCAATAGGGACATTTTGTGCCATTCGTTTGTTTTTTTTTTTTAATTATTTGCAAATCATTTGATTGTTAAATACAGGTTGGATATTCATTTGCAACATCATTGTCAATCGCAACACAACATCCAACATGCAATGGTGCCGAAGAGTGCCCCGGTTTATGAGCTTTTCGAAACAAGCTGTCACTGAGAAAAAATTTTTTCTTTGACTTGCTAGCGTAAACTTGAAATGCGAGTACTGTATGTTATGGTGCCAGGGAACACTCAAACTAAACATAAAACAAAGAAAAATACACCTTGTGCATTAAAGTAGCCACTTTGCTCTCACAAGGTCTTAACTTCATGCTAACATACTGTCATGCGAATTGCCATTGATGGGCTAGCGGCGATATTTGCAGACAGATAATCTAATAAGACTCAAGGCTTATATTTTTTTCTCTCTGAAAAATGACGATGAATCCGAGGAGTTGCAAAACGATTTTCTTCATTTGTGTCTGCATGATTGTCGAAGCAAATAAATCACTTGGGCGATTGCTCATATCTTGGAAAACCTCTAATTCGGACCACTCGTATCTCGAGGCACCAATGTTTCAATTTACATTACATGCGACAGGAAGAAAATTCTGACGTAACATATAACCATTTTTTGAAGTTGTAGTATTCAGGGCTTCTCGAGGCGGAAACTATTTATAGCAGTGATGTTTGATTATTCTTTATTGATTACAAAATCACAAGATGGATGGCAAACAGTCCACCAAATCTCTCGATGGAATGACCCAGAGTGAGTGTGATAATGTATGCATGCAGGTGTGCGTGTGTGTGTGTGTGTGTGTGTGTGTGTGTGTGTGTGTGTGTGTGTGTGTGTGTGTGTGTGTGTGTGTGTCTGTCACTGTTTCACCGCGGCCACGAGTGTGTGCGCCACCATGCTATGTGACTGCACAGCTGTATCAATAAAGTGGACTCAAAGGGCTCAGATCCTGTCAGCATGTCTTCATTCATGACGTTGCGGTCTTGCTCAGGGGGACGTGAGAGGACTCCGCCGCTCCGGCAGGTAAGATATGCCCTCAGTCGAAAATGTCACTTCATCCGATTTCATAACCTCTTTGAGCGTTTTTCCGATGTAACTTGGAAACTTAAAGCGCCCACCCAGATGTCACCGTTGCATTTAAAAAGACGTTTCTGTCATAAATCTGGTCAGCCACGTGGACCCCTTCCATCGGTGAAGTTGTCCATCTCCGATCCTGAAACGTACTTGGGCAGTCATGATTTTTGCGAACCACTAGAGGGAGCCAACGTACCACCGGTGGTACGCGTGCCGCACCTCGACAATCCCGAACCTTCGCGAGGTAAGACGCGCTCCGCAACACTCCGTCGTGGTCGGCATGCATATTCATGCGGACGTGCGGAGATGGCGGAGGGCGACAAGCAGAAGGCCAATGTTAATTCAATTACACGCCAGCTGTTCCCCTAAAAGCCCGTGTTTGCACTGGAACGCACGTCTTCTATTCGGCCAGGAGCCCCTCGCAGCAGTCGAAGGCTGCCAGGATGCCACCACTTCTTCTTCTTCTCTCTTCCTCCTCTTCTTCTTCTTTGGGCTTGCGGCTGATTTACGGAGCCTTTGTTTTGCACCATTACTCTATTTAATAGTCAATCTGCTCGCAAGTGAGATGTGCAAATGAGCTTGTACGCTTCTTTCCAGACGTGCGCGCGTGTGTGCGTGTGTGTGTGTGTGTGTGTGTGTGTGTGTGTGTGTGTGTGTGTGTGTGCGTGCGTGCGTGTGTGAGAGAGAGAGAGAAAATAAAGGCGCGCGCACACACACATACACTTCTGTTATATGGAAGTGAGTTCACTCGCTTTATCTATTGCACGCTTAATAAAGCAAACACATATTTCACACTTGGCGTTGCTGTTTTACATGTGCAATTGCGCTCCGACCATCCAGCCGTGAGAGTGCGTGCGTGTGTGTGTGTGTGTGTGTGTGTGTGTGTGTGTGTGTGTGTGTGTGTGTGTGTGTGTGTGTGTGTGTTGGTATTTGTGCTCCACCCCACCTCCTGTCCCGACTCGGGCGGAGCTCTCGCATGCATCTCCCGTTTTCTGGAGGATGGCGAGAAGGTGTCCTCGGCCAGTCTGTCCTTCTGTTGCTCTTTTGTATGTGTGTGTATGTGTTCTGGTCTTGCTATCAACTTGTGCGACCGGCCTTGACAATACCCCGTTTCATTTGTCCTTGTAGCAACAATTAGAATAAAAAATACAGTGGTGCCACGTATTCCCGCTTTCTTCGTTTTCAGGCCGAGTCGCCGTTTTCTTGCGCAACATGAAAGTAGACGATTCATATGTCCGGCATATAAAGGAAGGCGTCACTTGTGTAATAATTCAATTTGCAGCAAGTGATGGAGGCTGTGTGTGTGTGCGCGCCTGAGCGCGTCATTGAGACTTGGCTCCGGTGTTAAAGAGGCGAGCTCATCTCGACCAAGTGGGGGGAACGAGGAAGTGCTTCTGTGGCCAGACGAGCATTTACTTCCTGGAAGCTTTTCAGGATGGAGACCGAGGTTGCCTGCCAATTCTCCTCCACTTCCACCCCCCCCCCACCACCCCTCCGCCCCCAATTCAACTTGGTACCATGCAGACGTCGTGTTGGACGACGGCAGATGTCTCCTGACGATCCATGTAAGATTTAACTTCTTGTTTCCCGCTTGATGGAGTGCACAATTCCTTGTGATCAAATTGATTGATTGATCCTTTAGCTTTGCTCACTTCTCCTGTCCTTGGAAGGACATCGCATTCGTCCCCCTTTTTCAGCCAATCTTATGTCTTAGAACTATCTTACATATATAACTATCTTCTCTACCGCAGTCTTCCTGTCACTGGGTTCTGTAACAATAGTATTGTTAGATTGAGTTGATGTTACTAGGGGGACAGCTTTGGGTGCGGAAACAGGAAGTGACGTGTTCTCCGATGTTACGAGACAAAGTAACGTACCTGTACTTTAAGAGTTATGCCAATCAAAGTTGGCAAGTAAGCAAGATGCTTTAACCGTCCACTCTGTATGGTCAGTGAGAACGGAACAGAGTGAAAACAGTTTCAACCCATCTGCTCATGAGTGTATTTATTTGTTGTTTTAGGACAAACATCAGGTTTTATTTTTATGTTGTTAAGATAAGTTTTTTTGTTTTCTACAGGAAAATAAGAGCAAAAGGAATTATGTTAGCAAAAAAAAAAAAGTTGAGCTTTTTTGTTCGCCGTTTCTGTGCCAAAGCAATAAAAGTGTCACTTTGCCGCCATCTTGTGGCATCTTAGTGCTAAAGAACTATAGTATAATGAAGTGAGTTGAGGATCTTCATCTATAAAGTATTGCTCAACTGGAATCTGATGACATCTTGATGCCAAAGAAATACGTTCAAGTGAGTCATACGAAGCTTCATTTAGACAAAAGTAGCGCCGCCACCAGCACAAACCTTTTTGGAGGTTTGCGGATTTTTTTTTTCCGATATGCTCCCCAAATATTTTCCAGAAAGACATCAACCAGGATCATGATTATGACTATAACCAATGTACGGATTGGTGAAAGCGCACTTTTGTCACATGAGGTGTCCTCACTCTTTGGGCATTTTGTTAATTGCAATCAATGAGGAGCTGTTCGAACCTAGCGGGCACCACGTCGCTGGTGTTGGCTAAATGCGTCTAAAGGCAGATGGCACGATGTCACGTGGAGAAATTTCCAACCAGGCCACACTGCGGAATTCTTAATAGGTGCTAAATTTGATGCAGACGTTCTTCAACTTGATATTTTCAGCGTGTTGATGAGAGCATCGTTATAATGTCGAATACATTTTCGATTAATTGATGACTGATTTCAAAGGGAAAAAACCGAAGGTCATTTTCACATTAATATTTCCTCACATTTATGTTGCAGTCAATTCTTTTTTTTTTCGGATGAATACAAAAATGTTCATGACAGTCAATACATCAATTGAGCGTCAAATGGAACATCGACTGTCAGCAGTGTTGCGCCAAAGCTGTTTCCCATGCGGCCGGTGACAAGTTGCACAGGTTGCAAGGTTGTGTGACATGACTTCATTAGTAGCCTCCCATTAAAAGCTCACTCGATGTCACATTTTGTAGCCGAAAAAGAGGAAGAGGAGAAAGATAGTGACACTTGATGAGAAGAAGAAGGGGATCGTCACATCAACAACCGAGAGTGTCGATGAGGTGAGAAAACGCCTGTCAATCATCTCCGTGTCAGGTCTTGAAAAAAAAAATTGCCATAAAAAAGAAAGTTAAGTTAAAATAATTCATGGGGCCCTTGAAAATGTGATTGAGGATGTTGTTTTATTGATTTGCTTTAGTCACAGCAAATATTAGTTTTACATCGACCGCCAACATGGCAACCTCAAGTAACCATACAACAACATGTGAAAGAGAGATTCCATAGAAGCTACTTAAATCTTATTAGGTGGGGTCTCAGCACATTTCAATTCTTTGTCCATGCCGAAACAATATAACACAACACAAAACAAAACAAAACAAAACTATACAAGTGACAACAATGTTGATTGTTTACGGGCTGGATTGGATTAATGGAATTTCCATTCATTTCAGTGGCAAACGATGATTTGAGATACAGGCGAGATCGCCGAATGACTTCCACTCACATCTCAGGGCGCCACTGTTTTTGTACACAAACTATTAAAAATCCAATTTTCCAGAGTATGTCTCCTCTCAGCTCTGCACGTTTATTACACATTTATGTTGTCGTCACTGCAATTCCTCATCAACTTTATGGAATCCGTACATAAAACTAATTACCAAAAACTCACTTAAATATGAGAAGCTGACACGTTTGAGCAAAAAAAAAAAAGTATTTATCTTGTCGCTCGGCGAAGCGACAGATTGAGTGCGTGCGAACAGATTGCTTTCGCTTTGGGGGGAGGGAAAAAAGAAAAAAAGAAAAAGAGGTTGGCGCACCCCCGGCAACATCTCACACGTCTTGTGACAAACATCTTTACATTCTACATTTTCAACAACACATCCATTATGCATGACGCCAGCCTGCAAACACCCACGGAAATACCTGACCGCCATCTCTTCCATTGTCATATAGAAACTGTGTGTGCGCGCGTTTGTGAGTGGGAGGTGTGGCCAGCCCGAGTGCCGCAGCATATGGCGCTTCTAATTGGCTAGAACAGCACAGCTGGACGACACCGGTGCAGTGCAAGCCATGACCCTCTGCTAATCATTCCCGCAAGCCTCGATGCTCCTCCCCCTCGCCGCAGCCGCGCTAGTGGGTGGCTCGGTGTCAGAGTGAAGCAAGGCAACCGCCGCCAAAAAAACGACTCCAGTACTTCACAAAATGGAATTGTTGACATTCTTTCCCCTCTTTCTTTGATTGAGCAAAAATGCAGGCTACTGCACAACTGCCTTGCTACGTTACATTGACCTCAATGCTAAGTTAGCATTGACATAAATGCTAACTTAGCATTGACATCGATGCTAACAACAAATGGTCTTGAGTTTTCTGAGGTGCCCGTTGAAATTTAGCCGCACACTAAAAATAACATGTAAAACGCGGAATGTTATTCATCCAGTTGATAGTATTTAATGGCTGTAAGACTGTATTGCCGTTGTGTTCCACTGTTAATCCAAAAATAGGCATTTGAACTATCCCGACTCTTACACTTCGATCGCATTCCAAACACCGATTGGAGTTTTCTATGACATGATGCGCAAACCACTGTTCAAGTGTCAGCTTTAATGAAAGAAAACAAAAAAGAAAAAAAACATTCCCTATTTTTTTTTCCTCTCTCTTGGCGTTTTTGCTGAATTGATCACTCCGCCGCGCCGCCTCCCTTCGGCGCTGACATCCATTGAGTACACCGCGGCGTAAAAGCTGATAATGTGATAATTAAAAGCGCTGACAGGCGGGAAGGCGTCATCGACAAGCGCCACCCCCTCCCCAAGTGTGACCCCCTCCTAAAAGCGGCGCCGTCACTTTTGCAGAGATTGACGGCCTTCGACCTGGCACCCGAGAACACGGTCCGTCGGCCAAAAAAAAAAAAAAAGATCAGTCTCTCACGCTCTCTTCCCCCCTTTTCTTGAACACACCGTGATTTATTACCTGAGCAGACAAGAGAACTAATTAGTGGAGTAATTAATTAATATGGATTTGCATATTTGCATTTGCAATTAGTGCAGTCGACTGATTAGTCCGAGACGGGGAGTCGGACTCATCGGATACTCCTGAAACACACACACACACACGCACACACACATACACACACACACACACACACACACACACACGCATTGTATTTGTATGAAGGTATGTCTTTTGTGCTCATGTCTTGTAATGTCCAATACAGCAAGATTGATATTGGGCTTTAATTGATTCTCCTTGTAACAAGGTCATTGGCTGGCATACGTGTGCATGTGTGTGTGTGTGTGTGTGTGTATGTGTGTATGTGTGTTCCGCATAACTGAGGAGCGCATGCAGCCATATCAAGTGCCAGCTGTGCCCCTGGTGTGGCGTTGGCAGCCTGCCATCGGCCCTTTGTTTTTTTCTTGCATATATTTCTATCCTCGGGGTGCACTTACTGTTTGGAGTCCCGAGGAGCCCCGGTTGCAAACACACCCCTTCATCATCATCATCTTACCACATGCTGAAATCTACTTTCTAATGTGACTCACATCAGAATTTTAGCTGAAAATCATACAGAAAAAGTGAAGCACGGTCGAAGGGCTCGTTTATGCCCTGCTGGGAGACATACTAGAGGTGCCTTGAGATTGGGGTGACCCGACTTGTGAGTTTTTCCGGATAAAAGCCATCGTTCGACTGTTTTGTTTTTTTTTTCTGACTTAGCCTTTCATCTGCTAGCTGCTCATGCATGCAAAACGCTCATGTAAGCCTTTAAGCGACTAGTATTTGAACACAACACGTTTAGACACACATTCAATATACTTTCCAATAGTATACTCGCAGTCATACATTCTTTATCCTCAGCAAGGAGCTGAAACATGAATATTGCAAAGATGTGCATGTGCAATATGATCCATCTGTCTGATACTGCTCCCAGGTGGCCAAGACAGTGTGACAAAACACGCACACATGGGTCATTTCTATATGATACACATTTTAAGTCAATATGATAGACTCAACCAATACAACAATTTTATTCCATCTATTTCTTCCGTTTCCACAACTATGTGAAACTGAATGCATTAATTATTTCTGAAATCGATCTTACAGTGTTTCTTGGCAGAATCCTCAACGATCCTCAGCTTAACGCAGGTATGTTTATGCTATGACCTTCGCGTTGGAATTTTATGACTCCCAGTTAGCGTCGCTCAAAACTCAATGCAGCTCTGCTTACCTTTTTACTTGTGACATAATAGCAGGGGCGTCGCACCCACGGAGGATGTGGTGGGTATTTTTGCAGGTTCGTGCCCCTACATAACAGTGTTTCAGACTCTCACAGGCCACAAGATAAGGGACAGCTGAACCCAAAAATTCTGCCTTGATAGCTTACAACAAACACATTGTAAGTTTTCAGGTATGCTTTTGTGGTGTAATGTGCACCTTGCTCGGGGTAGAGTATACAAGATCTATACAAGAGTTAACAGAATCAGTAAAGTTATTCTACTTGAATTTGTCCTTCTAATGACGGATATGCGGTGACACCTAAGAAACAATATGATCTGTATTTCTTTTTTGCTCTGACTTCCAAGTGCAAACTGAGATAGAGTATTTCATTCCCAAGTCGCTTCACTTTGTAGTGTAAAAGTTGCTTTTTCACATGAACATGGGCGAACGTACCTGCATACCTGTTGACAATGCACACATGCATGAAATTTATGCCTCTTGCTTGTTATCTTCTCTCCCCCGCTCTTCGCAGTGCAGGAGGGTCCCCAGGGACCCGCCGAGCACGTGGTCCGCACTGCCATGAGACGTCAGCGGCAGATGGCACCATCGCCGCCATGCATACCGGCTGCTGGCACCAGTGGCAGACAGTCCTGCAAGAAGACGACGACGAGGAGGAGGAGGAGGAGCAGAGGAGGAGAGTGTGGAGGGCTCAGTGTGCTCTTGTCATTATTGTTGTCATCTTTTTAGGGGGTGCGGGAGCGAGAGGTTTGGGAGCATGAAGGCTGCGCGTTGACCCCCCCTCCCTGCATGGTGAGTTGCATTTTGTGTTCAACTTGTGCTTTTTGTCATCCATAAAAAAGTTGGAATGCCTTTAGGGGTGCAACTCTGCCTGCCAATAAGTTTTCTCGAGGGTGGAATTACAGGACAATTAAGTAAAAACCTCGAAACCACAGTTTTTTTTAATGTAATGTTTTTACTGTTTCAGCGGGAACTATGTTGACTCTGCCATTCGACGACGCGCACGCGATGTGTGAGCCCCGCTTCGGCGCCGGTTACCCACGCGGAGGTGCCTCCGAGGACCGAGCCTCCCCTCGCCCTCCCCACCACCTCCACGATGACGACGACGAGGACGACGACGAGCCTTGCAGGTCCGCCGGGGACGACGCCGCCTCCTCGGACAGGGACTACGAGCAGGACGACGGTGGCCTCCTGCTGCACAAGAAGCGCGGGCCCCGGAAGAAGAAGGCCACGAAGGAGCCCCACGACCGCTCCAGGATGCGGCGTCAGGAGGCCAACGCCCGGGAGAGGAGCCGCATGCACGGCCTCAACGCAGCCTTGGAGAGCCTCCGCAAAGTGGTGCCTTGCTACTCCAAAACGCAAAAGCTCTCCAAAATCGAGACCCTGCGCCTGGCCAAGAACTACATCTGGGCTTTGTCCGAGACCCTCAGCGCCGGCAAGAGACCCGACCTGCTGGCCTTTGTGCAGACCCTCTGCAAAGGATTATCGCAGCCCACCACCAACCTGGTGGCGGGCTGTCTGCAGCTCAACGCCCGGAACTTCCTCACCGACCACAACGGGGAGGTGGTGTTCTCCGGGCGGCCTCCGTACGACCCGCTGTATTCGTCGTCCGCCTACCCGGGCTCCGAGGCGTTTCCAATAGTATACTCGCAGTCATACATTCTTTATCCTCAGCAAGGAGCTGAAACATGAATATTGCAAAGATGTGCATCTGCAATATGATCCATCTGTCTGATACTGCTCCCAGGTGGCCAAGACAGTGTGACAAAACACACACACATGGGTCATTTCTATATCACACACATTATAAGTCATTATCATAGACTCAACCAATACAACAATTTTATTCCATCTATTTCTTCCGTTTCCACAACTATGTGAAACTGAATGCATTAATTATTTCTGAAATCGATCTTACAGTGTTTCTTGGCAGAATCCTCAACGATCCTCAGCTTAACGCAGGTATGTTTATGCTATGACCTTAGCATTGGAATTTTATGACTCCCAGTTAGCGTCGCTCAAAACTCAATGCAGCTCTGCTGACCTTTTGCTTGTGACACAATAGCAGGGGCGTCGCACCCACGGAGGATGTGGTGGGTATTTTTGCAGGTTCGTGCCCCTACATAACAGTGTTTCAGACTCTCACAGGCCACAAGATAAGGGACAGCTGAACCCAAAAATTCTGCCTTGATAGCTTACAACAAACACATTGTAAGTTTTCAGGTGTGCTTTTGTGGTGCAACGTGCACCTTGCTCGGGGTAGAGTATACAAGATCTATCCAAGAGTTATCAGAATCAGTAAAGTTATTCTACTTGAATTTGTCCTTCTAATGACGGATATGCGGTGACACCTAAGAAACAATATGATCTGTATTTCTTTTTTGCTCTGACTTCCAAGTGCAAACTGAGATAGAGTATTTCATTCCCAAGTCGCTTCACTTTGTAGTGTAAAAGTTGCTTTTTCACATGAACATGGGCGAACGTACCTGCATACCTGTTGACAATGCACACATGCATGAAATTTATGCCTCTTGCTTGTTATCTTCTCTCCCCCGCTCTTCGCAGTGCAGGAGGGTCCCCAGGGACCCGCCGAGCACGTGGTCCGCACTGCCATGAGACGTAGCTGTCCTTTTGCAATGGTATTTCCATTTGCGTTTCAGCCACTGAGAGTCTCTGCATCGTCGTTGTGGTGCAACTGCTAATCAGATGCAGAGATGAGCCTTTTCACTGGATTCAAACCCACAAAACACACACACACACACACACAGTGGTGGGCTCGTTAAAAACACAAGCACAAGAAAGAATGACTATTCCCAACTTCTTTGGTTCACATTCAGCAAGTATGTGTGGTTATGAACCGCAGCGCAGCGGCCAGCAGGAGTCTCGCTTGTTGTTTTGTGAAACAACATCGGTTGAGTCGTTCATAAGGACTTGGGAAGACGAATACCAATTTTCAAATAATTTTGAATACCCATCAATCTTAGGTTAAAGTATTTTGGATCTTAAAAATAAGAAAAGTGTATAAAAATACAAAAGCGGTTCGGATAATGGATGGATGGGTGGGAAAATCCCTGAGCCATAAACGTCATGTGATGATATGTTCCTTATGCGGAACTGACGTTTCTGCTACGACCGAAGGTTCTTAAAAGCCAAAACGCAACGCGAAAATATTTTACCCTCATAACGTTGTGACTATGCAGTCAAACAGGTATTTACGTTGTTTCATTCCGATGCTAAATGTTTCGCATTTATGCCACGCTCCATTACAAAGAAATATGTTTAAAAGCTATGTTGTGGTTATGACGTCAACAGTTACAATTGTGTCGCATCAGGAAGTGCAGGTGTACCGAGCGTGACAAGCTTTCAATTAGTTTAGGTTTATATTTGTGTGTGCCTTATTTAAATGTTAGGCTTTTTATTTCTTTGGGGCCAAGTGTTGCCTTGATTATGTCACAATGGCTGCCTGTGTTGTTCTGCTTGCAGTTTTTGGAGAGCAGACAAATGATTATGTATTGTTATGTATTTATGAAGTCCTTTGTGTTTTCTCAGTGTGGGAGATCCAGACAGATGTTAAAAAAACTGCCGTGTGTGCCTCAGTTTCAATATGTTGAAGATTAGATGTGGCTGCGGCCCGTCGGACCCGGCCAAGCCGTTCCGCCACTACGGCTATTCGGGCGCCTACGAGCCGTCCTACGCGTCCCCGGAGGCCGGCAGCCCGCACTTTGAGAGCCAGCTGAGTCCGCCCGTCAACCTCAACGGCATTTTCGCCTTCAAGCAAGACGAGCCGCCGGACTACGGCAGGGGGGGACACCACTACGGGGTGCGCTACTGCAGCGCAACTGGACGCGCGGCCCTGGCGCACGGCTCCATGTATCGGGTGGCCCCGGAGGGCCGCTACCCGTACGACCTGCACGTCCGCGGCCAGTCCTTCCAAGCGCAGGGGGATCTCAACGCCTCCTACCACAATTAACATGCACAAACTCTCATTTTTACATCCACAAACAAAAATGCTTCTTCTCATTCCCCTCAGATAAACTCCGTCAAAAGTCTGCGCTTGGACGCCGATGCGCAACAAACTCCAGGCACAAGTCAGTTAAAAAAAAAAAAAAAAGAACGGCCCAAACCAGACCGTCATTCGGCGACGAGGCTTATTTGTATGGATTTAAATGTCATTTGGGGGGCATCGGATTTTGATGTATTTGGATCGAGCAATAAAATGGCAAAGAAGCTATGCAACGCAATCGGTCAAAATGACATCACAACGGTCAAAGCATTTCATCGAATTTGTTCCCATGGGAGTATACAGAACAATTCAAAATATGAGTGTGGAGTAAATTGTGTTTTAATCGGGTGAATGTAAATTATTATTATTTATTCGAACATATTTATTGACAGCCATGGATAAGAGGGTCTATGATAGAATTATTGTACATTTCAAAACAGCGTTATGTGAAAGATTTTGTTATGTTGTCATTTATTGGCTTGAGAGGGGGGTTATTATAATTATTATTATTCTTGTCATGTGTCACATGCCTTAAAAAGGGACCACCATTAATATGCAATGCACATGTTTTATTTTTGGGGGGGGGGGGGGTTGAACTTTTTACGCACTATGTCAAAAACAAATTTTTTTGGGGGGTTGGCTAAATTGTGCCAACTCGTTATGGATCGAAATCTTCGTCATGTTCGTGTTCTGTGATGAGCTTGTGTCATTGATCACAGTTGAATTAATAAATGAATTATAGAAGGGAAATCAAATGTGACTTATTTAGAGAGGGGTCCAAACATTTGTTTTAGTATAAATCCACTCGTGGGGGCAAAATTGTGCACTTCTAGGCAAGCTCGATCCCTGCCCTTGGATGAGTTGGCGTTGTTGGATCGGGGCCAGACTGACCAGACTGTGCAGTCCAGTTTTTCCAGTTTGAAGTTGGCATCACACCAAAAGGTAATCATTGTTTTGTCACATTTTAAATCTCGAATGACCATTTGTCGTGTGTAAAAGCAAAACTCCAAAGAAAGATTTAGCTGGACGTCTTTTTTTTGCAGACGAACAGGCGTGATCTTGATTTTTAAAACAATCACCAAACACCACATAAAAAGTCTTCATAAAGTTCTACTCGTAGTTTTGGTTTAAAAAAAAGAATTGACATCTGCAATTATAATTTGACTGTACATATATAGGCCTTACGGTATAGTATTTATTTGTATTTCATCGATACTTTTGACGAGAATTGACCTGACATCTGCCACCTGTTATGTTTGATGTTAATATTTTCAATCAATATTAAATTCAAATGTAACATAACACCCATTTTCATTCGTCTTTTTTCATTTTTGCTTTATTTCCGCCGTCCATTAAAACTATAATCGAATTGTCTCTGTATTAGGCGTGTACCTTTTTAAATTAAGAAAGATATTGACACTGACAATATATATTTACGATTATTTTGACAAGTCGCAAAACGCTAAAAACAAAACACACCCACACAATAATACTAAGTGACCACCTTTTGAATTTTAAACATGACGTATTCGCCGTACATCGTATTATTATGATTGTGGCTCAACGATATCTGAAATAATTTCCCGCAGAAGTTTTATCAAGCAACAATTAGCAAGTAACCTGTCATCATTGGCACCGCACTCATTTCGGGGCATACGCATTATGTGTCATGTTTTATTTATTGATCTGCAATCAAATACCCATGAAAAAGGGTTCAAAGTAGCCTAGCTTAAAAACAACAACAACGAATCAATAAAAGTGATTCGTTTTATACAATGGACGATTTGGGTGAGAAAACGTGTTTTTTTCCCCCCTTCCGCTCATTTCCGCTTCTGTCATCATTAAAAGCGGTGATCCCTCGGGGGTCCTGAAAGCACCTCTTTAGCCCCCCCCCCCCCACTCCTACTCCACACGCACATTCGTCCCATTCTTGTGCCACCCCGCCTGGTTTGTTATGTGTTTGGACAAGGGGTAGTGCAGCTTTGAGTCCTTCGAGGTGGGGTCGTTAAAGTGGGTTGGGTGGCGGCGTGCTGCGTGGGGGGGTGGTCGACGCGCCCACGTGGCCCGTGAGCAAGCCAGCGACAGTTTAACACAGGGTCAAACGTGTACCGGTGCCCCCCCCCCCACCACTTTTCCCTCCTCCCCCACATACGTTCACAAGCTCATTATACACGCGGCATCTGGCCCACTTGTGTCACAGCACGAAGACAAACACACTCGATATATTGTTTGTGTGCATCAATACTAGAAGGCACAAGAATAGTCGAACGCTTCAAACTGATCGAATTGCGGCAAAGATGAAAGTGAGATAGTAAGGAGTCGAGGATGGTATGAAAGGAAGGAAGGGTGGAAAGGGAGTGTGAGAGGGAGGAAGGATGCAAGCCAAGGAGGATGGAGGGGGGAATCTGGAATGGGATGAGAGAAAAAAAAGTATAGGATAAAGGAAAGATGGAGGGGTGAAATCTGTGACGTACGGAAGGAGGGGAAGAAGGAAGAGATGGAGAGGATGGAAGGAAAGGAGAAAAGGAGGTCGGAAGGATGGAAACAAAGATGAAAAGAAAGGAAGGAAGGAAGTGAGATTTTTAGGGAGTCCACCAGGCCAACATACACCCACGCCCAAACCTGGATTTCAACTCAGATCCATTTTGATCGGTTGGCACAGCGGTGTGCTCGAAATTATGGTTTGCAACCATAACGACAAAACCTAACCTAGACTAGAAACCCTATTTTGAGACCCAAACCCTGGTTTGAAACTCTATTTTGAAACCCTTATCGTTGAATTGATAAGATTAAAGAAGTAAGTGTGAATGTATTGTTTCGATGTGCATTGTGTTTAATGAGGGCAGGCCGACTATATTGATTGACGTCGCCAGCATCAACCTATCATTAGTCAAGTTAAGAGTCTTTATTGTTTAACTGTGATCAGTGGTTAACTTATTTTTACATTTAAAACATACGCCCTGTTACTTGGAAAAAAAATAGGCTTGTTTTACCCAAGAACACAATTTTCCTATTTTTCATTATTTCCTAAGGCAATGAAATCCATCTATAGAATTTATTGGTAGTACAAAAATTATCTTTTATTTTCTTTCGTAAATTTTGAGTTGTTTTAAATTTCATGATGATATCACTATCTTTTTTTGTATCTAAATTATACCCTTTGGGATTAAATTTTTAAAAAATGGGTTATTTAAGATTTTTTTTTTTTTGTAATCCAATTAAGGCCACAGAGAACAGCTTCTCATTTGCAATGCCAACCTGGCTGCAGATGGCGGAGAATAACAAAGCACAAATAAAATAAAATACAAAAACAGATTCAGCAAACTCTAAAATACACACACACACACACACACACACACACACACACACACACACACACACACACACAAACCTACACTCTATTACCAAAGGTATTTGCTCACCCATTGGAATGACCAGAATCGGGTGTCCTAATCACTTGGCCTGGCCACAGGTGTATAAAAGCAAGCACCTCGGCGTGCAGACTGTTTTGACACACGTTTGTGAGAGAATGGCTCAATCTCAATGGCAGGCTTGCTGGTGCCTATCTCAGCTGGCTTTGAGTGAGAGGTTGGGTACACCCTGGACTGGTCGCCAGCTATTCGTAGGGCGCAGAAAGGCAAACAACTGTTCACTCTCACATTTACGCTTGGGGACATCTTAGAGTCTGAAATGAACTTAAGAGAGATGTTGTCAGATTGTGGGAGGAAGTTGGAGTACTTGGATAAAAGCCGCGCAGGTAAGGGGGAAGATCATGCAAACGTCACACTTGCTAGTCAGCCACCGTGAATGCCGGCCCTTTTTTTTAAAATTTTTTTTGCTCAGCAAAAATTCAGAACTCAATGTTCTCTTCTGAAGAATGCAATCAAATGAAGTGGGCCAAAGTCAAAGTTTTGGGGTGACAGTTTGACACTCACACATTTCATTTCTCTTATACACTTCAGGTACCCTATTCCTGAAACAAACATGGAATCCCAAGCTTTAACGTGCAAGGCGGCATACACAATAGAATTATTTTTTTTGTTGTTGTTGTTGTTGTGGCATTGTCAGGCCTTTATAGCCTCAAATGTTGTTCCTTGTCAACAAGGGTCCTCAAAATTCCGTCTTTCCCCAAGCCCCAGATGGTGATGGTGGCAGGACGGGGACACATTTCCCCCATTAAATTCCTAATAATCATTTGGAATCGCGGATGGGAGGGGGAAGTGTGTGCGCGCGTGTGTGTGTGTGTGTGTGTGTGTGTGTGTGTGTGTGTGTGTGTGTGTGTGTGTGTGTGTGTGGTAGATGGCATGGAAGTGAGGATGGGGCTGGTGGGTGAGTGGAGTAGAGGGATTTGGTGGTTTAATTAGACAGATTTAAGGAGATGAACCCCCCATGCCACCAGGCCTTTCCTCTTCCTCCTCCAAATGTGTGGATGCATGTGTGAAAAAAATTACACATATGAGTGTGTGTGTGTGCATGTCAGGTCATAGTGGCGCAGTGTAAAGGAGCTTCGACGCCAGGCCGGGATCTCATTAAGGTGTCAGATTGGTGGATGAGCCTTTCTGGCATTCGAGCCCTCAGCAAGCACCTTCTCTGGGTTTGGCGACGTGGATTATTCCCCTGCGCGCTTTGTTGACAGGTGTTCGGAGGAGAGGATTGTGAGAAAGAGCAAGTCATCACGGTACTCACGCTAGATACGTACATTTAAAAAAAAAGTCTCGGGGAAAGCACGACTCCTGGACTCAGAGGCATTTTTTAGGTCATTTTTGGGGGGGAATGATCAAGTATGCCCAAACTCAATCCCAGCACCCCTAAAATTTAAGTGTTTTTTTTCCCTTTTTTTTTTTTTTTTTTTTTTTACTGCATCCCATTTTTGAACAAGTTATAACCAACCAATGCTTCGTTGAAACGGACTATTTTAACAACAAAAATACAGCATTCCCTTAGCATTCCAGTAGACTCTGCCATGTGTTGTCCCCCCGCACCCCCCATCTCCAATGATAATGAAGGCATTGCATATCCATCGAAGGCCGTAAATCTTGGCTTCCCGATTGCCGACTCGTCTTTCCACACGTTCCATGGATATGGAAGATAAGTTTTCACGTTGTTGAGTAGTGAGATCAAAAGATAGGATGAGGAGTGAGACGAACTGTAAAAAATGAAATTAAAAAAAAAAAAGTGGTGGTGCAAGTGAGAGAAAAAAAAGTGGGGTGTCACAGAGCCGCACATCCATTTCGATTTTGGAAATGAGAAATGACCCGACATTAAACATGTAAGAACATGTATAGGAACTTTCCTGGACTAATCACACAGGAGTCATTAGCTCCATAATTAACTCCATATTAGCGCAGAGAAAGAATCCATTCGTAACATCCACTCTTCTTTTGTGCGCCGGTGACGTATCGTTCCCTAATCACGCCACCCTCGGATGAAGAAGAGTCTCCTTCGCCCGTTCAATATATCAATTGCATATTTATCACATGGCCGGCATGTCAGCATTCATAGTACAGTACAGTACAGGCAGTTTTCCTGGAGCAGAATGCAGAGCAACAAACGTCCCGTGTACAAGATGTCTCCGCCGTCGTCTCTCCCTTTAGTATTCATCTCCACTGTGAGCCACCGCCAATCTGTCCCATACTGCCTTTCAAGCATTTCCTGTGGGACTCATGCTGTGTTCACCCACACACGCACACGGAGCGCAGAGGGAAAGTGAGCTGTCTGCCGAGGGTTGGATTGTTGGTGCCGGTCCAAAA